TTCTTGGCGTTGTACTCAATACCTACCTCGACGAATATGGTCTCGACGATGCAGAGAAATGTACCATGATTGTAGCGTGCCTCGCAGACTGAAGTGCCTGGCGGAAAGTAAGGTAGGTACCTACTAGTAGGTAGCTAGGTAGGTAGAGAGAGAGAGGGTGATCTCGGAGAGTGGGCCGGTTCAAAATGCAAGGGGATGGGGAGGGGCAAGCCAGGGCAGGGCTGGCGACTAGAAGGGAAATGGGTTGGTAATGATTAGACGAAGGCTATCTCCTTCTGGAATGCCCCAGCGAGGAAGGGGAGGGGAGGGGAGGGGGGGTTCGTGATCTCTTTTCCTTACTTGTAAGCTGTCATGCAACAACCATAACAAAGTGCATGCAAGCAGAAGGAAAATAAACACATGACGGCTGACAAAACGGTGGAAGGCGGTGGCAGTGAGCAGAGAGTGACGGTGACAGATGATAGCTTAGGAAGCGACCCGAATATCGCGACAACGGTTGACCTGCGGTAGGCACGGCATGTGCACCAGTGCCCGCTCCAGCAAACCATACCAAATAGTTACCTACAGTACCTGGCAAGCTGGGCAGGAACCACAAGGTATTCAAAAGGGGGGCGGACACGAGCTGATGGTTACCTAGCTTCTCGGCTGGTGCTCGTTGCTTGGGTCTGAAGGTGTACAACCCCAGGTACCTTTGGCGGGGAACCTCACGAACGAATCCACCATGGCCTCGTCCCAATCATTTTCTGCCTCTGTACACACAAACACGGATCGCACTTTGACCTGACAAGCGGGCGTAGTTAGGGGCTATCGCCGTTTGTTCAATTTGGCCGTGCTTGCCAGGAGGGGGCGGGTGGCTGGCGACGCAGCAGCAGCGATTGCCCTCTGATCGGGTGCCCGGGAGGGGGGGGTTCTTTGTGTGCGAACTCGGCGGTCTGCCAAGGGGAGGGAAGGAAGGAGTATTGCACATTTGCTGTTGCAGGCGAGATGCAGGTGCGGGTGGAGGTGCAGTTACAGGGCAGGGCAGGGCAGACGATGGCCACTGCTCACTAAAGTACCTACCTGCCCATTGAGCAGCATGTCAGTGGCCGACCTTCAGCGAGCGACAACCAGCTTTGCCCCCCCGGGTCCGTGGCACTGTACCTGTAGGTCTGCCACATTGGATTGGGACTAGCAGCGAAAGGAAGTCGCCCAGCACGGCGTGCATGGCACCGAAGCAAGAGCAGGGGAAGGGTGGAGGTGGAATAGGGCAAGACCGCCAGCCAGAGATGCCAAGCCGGCTTGCTCAGATCTGAAAGAGGGTCCCTCTTTGCGCCGCACTGTGGATACCAACCACGGGCCAGCATGTCGGTACAGTGTCCGCGCCCTGAGCACGAGCCAATTGCCAAGAAAAATTTCTCCTCTCTCCACATGGAAAGTGGGCCAGCCCTTGATGGCGACTGCTGATTCTCATCCGTCGATGTCATGTCCGCCAGCAGAGGAGTCCCAACAGTCCCAGCAGTCCCAGCAACCCCCCCAAAGGTGACTTGGCTTGGTCAGACCGACCTCTCGCTCCCTCCTTCGGCCAACTCCCGTTTTCGTCTCGCCGCTTCGTGTCCTGCCGGCATCTATGACTTGGATGCGTCTGCTCAGGTTCATTTTGCGACTGGCCTGATCAAAGGAGGAGGGCCCCCCTCGCGTGGCCGACGTGCTCTGCGGAACCCGTTTCGAGTCAACGCTGCTTACCACCGACGAATGTGGCTCAGCCTGGCACTTTGCCCTACACCGGAAGAGGCGAGGCCAATCCATTCCACGGCAGATAAAACGAGCCAGCACTCGATTGCTCAGGAGACCGACCAAGACCGAAACTCCTTGGGTCGAGTCCTAGCTTCAGACGATGCTGCTGCACCAGTAGCAAGCGCCAACTGAAAGGGGGGACACCCACATCAGCAGGACTCGGACTAATTACTATGTAGGCGCCTTGGGTAGGACCAGGACTTGCCAGGACCATGACGGGCATTTGCGCTGGCGCTGCATGCTCAACCATTTCACCGCTGCTTTTACTTGTACCCTAATTTCCCGTCTCGTGAGCTGGTCCGTCTACACCAGCCAGGCATTGCAGTGCCCCCCTCCGCTCTGTTGGATGGACCCTTTCAAGGC